CGTGAGCGGCTGATGGAGGAGCTTGTCCAGCAGGGCACGTCCCTGTGTGCCACTCTCAGGGAGGTCTGCGGCATGCCTGCTCCTGTGCCTGGTCCTGCTCCTCCAGCACCCCATGACCCCGCCCCACCAAACCCCCCTTCCACCCCACCCTCCCCTGCGCCCCTTGTACTTCCTTCTTCCCCAGGCCTCCCAGACCCAAGTGCATCTACCCTCTGTTGTCCAGCCAACAGACAGTCATCCACCTAATTCCAAGGCCATGGTAGACCCCGAACACGAGGCACCAGAAGGAGACTGAGAGCAGGCAAGTCCCGTGCAACCTGATCCCCTTCTCCTCCCCAGGTTTCAAGTCCCCTTCCCTCCTCCAGTTTTTAAGTCCCCTTCCCCTCCCCAGGTTTCAAGTCCTCTTCCCCCCTCCAGGTTTCAAGTCCCCTTCTCCCCTCCAGGTTTCAAGCACCCCCATCACCCCAGTTAAATAACAAGGATTGTGTTAAAGAAAATGTTTATTGTACATAGTTTGTCATGAAAGTATATTTTATACATCAAAAATCAACAAAAGCTTTTTTATGTTTGCAACGTTATACAATTTTTCAGTGACTGATATTTATAACAATAAAAGAACTTATTCTTTTGAGACAAACCCTGGTGTTTATTATTTCTACAAGCAGGGTCAGGAGATGGGTTGAGGAGGGAAGCTTTTATTGGGCCAGGGCCCGGTCCCCAGGCAGAAGCCCCTCAGTAGAGTCAGTGGCCTCCAATTGAGAATCGCTCCCGTAGGGCCTCCGGTATGCAAACAGCAGACCAGTGATCCTGGCGGATGGCAGCTGGGCAAAGTGCCTCTCCTGACAATCAGCACCTGTACCCCACCCTGGTAGGAAGGCCTCCCCTTTCCTCTCCACCAGGTTATGGAGAACACAACACACGGCCACCATCTCAGGGATGTTGCTCTCCCCCATGTCTAGCCGTGTGAGCAAGCACCGGAATCTCCCTTTTAAACATCCTAACGCACATTCTACCTGGTTACGAGCCCAGTTAAGGTGAGCATTAAACTGCTCCTTGCTCACATCCAGGTGGCCGGTGTAGGGCTTCATCAGCCACGGCATCAGGGGTTAGGCGGCATCAGCCACTATGCACACTGGCATGTGCACATCCCCAACTGCAAAGTTGTGATGCGGGAAAAATGGTCCTGCCTG